TGTCTTTAATTATGTGTTGCCTTGCTATCTTATGTCTATGTCAGACCTTGATGTTTCTGTGTTGATCTTTCTAAGTGAGCTTCCTGGTTCTTTTTAATGAATTAGCTATGGAAAATCATTGAGATAATTACAGTAATGCATGGAAACACATCATTAGCGCATGCAATTATCCCATTTACCAACTTAATTATGTTGTGTTATATTCTTTACTTACAGCACAGGTTGAACCATGCCTTTTTAAAATAGCAATGTATACTTTAAAGATCCATGTATATTTTAGCTTATAGGTATGCATTTAATTGTGGTTAATCACAGAATCATGGAATGGTTTAAACTGGAAGAGACCTTAAAGATCTCCTAGTTCCAAACCCCCTGCCATGGGCAGAGACACCTTCCACTAGACCAGGTTGCTCAGAGTCCCATCCAGCCTGGCCTTGAACACTTCCAGGGACGGAGCATCCACAACTCCTCTGGGCAACATGTGCCAGTGCCCCCCCCAACCTCACAGTAAAGAATTTCTTCCTAATATCTAATTTAAATCCACCCTCCTTTAGTTTAAAGTAATTCCCTCTTGTCCTATCATCGCTTGCCCTGGCAAAAAGTCTCAGGCTTTCTTGTAAGCCCCTTTAAGATGCTATAAGGTCTCCACCAAGTCAGTATGCAGCAACTTATTTAATTTAAATGAAATAAATGAGAAAACATTTATTGACAGCATTGGACAGAGTTTAGGTCTGTCCTAAGACCAAAGAGAATTCTTGATTATTAGTAAAAATTGCTGTATAATCAATAACATAATGAATTTCAGGTAATACAGCACACTGATATCAAAACAATTCAAGTTATGGATTGTTGGTAAATATATAGAGATTTAAGATACAATTCAAGAATTTTCATATTCAGTCAACATTGCCATTACAAGAATGACAAGGAACAGAGCATACTACTTATTAGTTCTATTATATCTGAACACTGTCTGAATATGGAGTAATCTAGGATTATGCAGTTCTGTAATTCAGTCCATGCTTCATGCACACCATTGAATTGTTCTTCAAAAATAAAACCATTTCTATATTCTTACCCAAAATATCCAACCCGAGGGTTTTTGCTAGATCTCTTACACCATCAGCTCCAAAAATATGTGTCTCATGTTTACATTTGGGACACTGGAATACACTCATGTTCTGAACCAGTCCTAAAACCTGTTGAAGTAAAGGAAATGATGTTCAAACCTGGCATTCAAGCACTGGTATTTCCATTATTCATCTCTGACAATAAAGAATAGATTATCAACTAAGAATTGACACAGAATACTCATTTAAAATAGGAATCGGACTCATTAACATTGTTATCAGCTCTTATTAGTCATCTCAGTTGCACCATCATTTGTGCATTATTTCAATTTATCACATTTATACCTCTCAAAGACTAACAAAGATTTATTTGTAAAAAAAACTACCTCTTGCACAGGCCTATCTTGCCAAGAACCCTCCCTGTAAATATTTCATTTTCAAACTCTGAATACTGGAAGAATTTCCATGCTGTGTTTTACAGTTTTGTACTTTGCAGTTTCAGGAAACACAAAATAAAAACACACCATTACAAGGACTTACACAATCAGACATTGCTTTTAAGGTAATTTTATAAATTATCCTGTAGGGAAATGTTTTCAAAAGGAACCAGATTTGCTATTCTTCTGAAAAGCAGAAACACATTTTAAAGATCAAACAAAAGAAATACTTATGTGAAACTAAGTGGCAAAAACCATAGCATAAAAATCTAATAGACACATCCCGGATACCTTTCTGTAGAAGCCAGGTGTTCAACATCATCCTTACAAAATATGCCAAACGAAAATTTGCAAAATCATTCACACACAAAAAAAATATTCTTTCACAGCATACAATAATGCTAATGAGAGCATTGATCTCATTTTGTTCACCTAGTAAACAAAACTCTTCACTGAGGCAGAGCAGAATTTCCAGAAGTGATAAAAACAGCATTCAAATGCTACAGGGTGAAAGTTCCTACCCATCTGCTAATTAACATAAGACCTGCTTCAAAAGGTTCCATGTTACAATACTTCACTTTCAGATTTATATTTTATCTAGATATGTCACACAAACTACAGACAAGTTTTAAAAACATGACTATGTATTTTATATTGTTATTTACTTTGTAGCACTTTGTACTTCTACATTTCCCTGAGCCTTCTAGTTTTGTGCTTGAACAGGATGGCCTAATGAAACATATCTAGAAGGACACACTAGTGTTCAATGCAACCAATAAATACAAAATTATTTAACTAAAAGTGAATGTACAACTTCTGGCATCAAACTTAAAAAAAAACCCAAAAAACCAAAAAAAAACAAACTGAAGGGCACTGGAAGGCGTATTATTTGACAAAAGAAAAAGAAAAATATTATTTTCACCAGGATACAGGGAAGCCATTTTTGACAGCACAGGA